TATGAAAATAGATATTTGACCAAATATATAAACATCCAACTATATATATTATTATATTGTCTATTTTAATATTTTTTTCATTTTTTAAATTTAAATTCATAATAACAAAAAAAAAAATCATGAAACACACAGATACAACACTAAAAATTCTTATTATCATAACATAACATAGTCCGTGTATCGCACGGGGATTATACTAGTTAAAATTATATAAATATTATGTATTTAAGACGAAATTAACCACCATTATATCAAGAGAATAGATACCTTGTGGGCAAGAGAATAGATAGTTAGATACCTTGATCCATAATTGGAGCTAACATTGATTTAGCCGTTCACTCAAACGTACGTATAATTAATTTGAATTTAAAAAAAAATAATATTTACACTAAAATAAATGCATACATTTTTTGATATATATCTTCCTTTCTTTTGGCCATGTGTAAGATGTTATTAGACTAAAATATATTACATGCATCATATAATATGTGATAATAGGATCATACTAACCTCCAGCCATTAGTTTTTGTATTAAGCGATCCGGACTGCTGCAGAGTTTTGTCTTTCACTTCTACTCAGCTCTCTCTAGATGGTGTATGTGGTATGTAATGTGAGCAATGAGAGGACTAGTGACCTTATATAACCACTGGCCATCATTGTGTTTGTATGTCTTTAGGTCTCCTAAATCCTAACCAGACTCCTAATCATAATGTATGGTAGTCTAGCTATTAGGTTATTAGTGTTGCACCACATATCAAATACTGAATATTATCATAACTTATCCTAATGTTATAATAATAATGATAAGGGAAAACGTTATATTCTCTCACTTGGTGCAAACACCACCACTCAATAACATAAAAACACCAACCATAATGATATGTTCTCATTAGCGCGAGTAGTATCCATTATGATCAAATGCAATCTGTCATTGAGCACTTAATTAGGAAACAAAACCTAATGAAACAAACGCTATGTTTATTCCAAATCCATGAAGTACATTTTCTGATCAATATAAAGCAAATGAAGGTGTACACACTTAATTGAGAAAATGTCTGAATGCCAAAAATTTTTATTGAAAGTGAATGTATATACAAATCACAAAGTGGATGAAAGTCTCATTTTCTGAACCAGATTCTTGAATTTAACTGAAGGCATGCATTTAGTCAAGGGATCTGCTAACATCAACTCAGTATGAATGTGTTTAATGAATATAACTTTATTTTTAACACGCTCCCTAGCTAATTGCTAAGAACTTGATGTCGATGTGCTTAGTTCGACTTCCACTTTTGTCGTTCTTAGCTAGGGAGACTACAACTGAGTTGTCAAAATAGACTTTCAATGGCTTAGATATAGAATCCATAATTCTAAGCCCAGAGATAAAATTCTTTAGCCAAACACGCTGTGAAGTAGCCTCGAAACAGGAAACGAACTCGGCTTCCATGGTAGAAGTAGCTATTTAGGACTGTTTAACACTTTTCCATGAGATAGCCCAACCGGCCATAATAAAGACGCACCCTGAAGTTGATTTTCGAGAATCAACATAGCCAGCGAAGTCCGCGTCTGAATAACCGACAACATCTAAATTGTCCGTCTGCCTAAACCCAAGCTTGTAACCTCTGGTTCCTTTGAGATACCTTATAACCCTCTTTACAGCTCTCCAATGGTCTTGCCCCAGATTGTGCTGGTAACGACCGGGCATTCCAACCGCAAAAGCAATGTCTGGCCTTGTACAGATCTGAATATATCCAAGACATCCAACAAGGGATGTTATCCGTGGATTCTTTATCCAAGTCATTTTCCGGACATTGGTCCAAACTGAATTTATCCCCCTTAGCTATGGGAGCAACGTTAGGTTAACAATTTTGCATCTGAAATCTCTCTAAAACTTTGTTTATATAGATTTCTTGAGATAAACCCAGTATACCCCGCGACCTATCTCTATGAATTTTAAAGACAATCACATAAGAGGCATCACCCATATCATTCATATCAAAGTTCTTAGAAAGAAATTGTTTCACATCACGAAGCATCCTCTTATCATTGGAGGCAAGTAATATGTCATCCACATATAAAACAAGAAAGCAAATTTTACCCCTACTCACCTTCTGGTATATACAATTATCTGAGGGATTTTCAACAAAACCAAATGAAGAAATTACCCCATCGAACTTGATATACCATTAACGGGAGGCTTGTTTTAAATCGTATATGGATTTCTTAAGCTTACATACTAAATGCTCACCACCCCTAGAAGAGAAACCTTCAGGTTGTTTCATATAAACCTCCTCTTCTAGATCACCATTAAGGAAAGCGGTTTTCACATCCATTTGTTGCAACTCAAGATTAAAATGTGCAACTAATGCCAGAATGATCCGAAGTGAATCTTTCTTTGATATGAAGGTCTCCTTGTAATCGATTCCTTATTTTTGAGTAAATCCCTTTGACAACAAGCCGGACCTTAAATCTCTCAATGTTGCCTAATGAGTTTCTTTTAGTCTTAAAAACTCATTTACAGCCAATGGCCTTGGCCCCATTAGGCAACTCAACAAGATCCTAAACTCCATTATCCTTCATGGAATTCATTTCATCCTTCATGGCTTCCAACCATAAGTCAAACTGTGCACAATTTGTGGCTCGAGAGAATGTTTCAGGATCATTTTCGGCCCCTATGTCAGATTCAGATTCTTGTAGATACGAAACATAATAACTAGGAACTGCTGATCGCCTTATCCGAGTAGACCGTCTTAAGGTTGGACCCCCACCGTCTTGCACAGGCTGCGGGTCAACTACCTCTTCAGGAACTGGTGGCAGTTCTTGACTTGGTTCAGTCTACATCGGCTCAGAATTTTGCTGTATATCCTGAGTTGGTTCAACCATTGGTTCGAAATCTAGTTCAGGCGGTTGCTGTAAGTCCTGAACTGGTTCTTCCAAAGTCTGATCCTCAAAAGTTTGTGGAACCTCAACAGTAGGTGGTATATCTGAAGGCGGAACTAAAGGAGCACTGCGGATAAGTACAACCCCACCAGATGACGTAGAAGATTGAGAGTCAATATGATCGAAGGAAGGAACTAAGTCCTTAAACTGATCACTCCCACTAATCGAGTCATCTTCAAGAAATTTAACATTCCTTGATTCCATTATCCTAGTAGTATGAGATGGACAATAGAACCTATAAACCTTAGAAGATTGTGCATACCCCATAAAGAAAGCACTAATCGTCCTTGGGTCAAGTTTCTTCTCGTGTGGGTTATATATCCTCACCTCAGACGTACATCCCCAAACACGCATACGTTGCAAACTCGGTTTCCAACCTTTGAATAACTCAAACGGTGTCTTAGGGACAGCCTTGGTTGGAACACAATTTAATATATACGTTTCCGTCTTAAGTGCTTCATCCCACAACGACTTTGGAAGCTTAGAGTTGCTAAGCATACTCCGCACCATATCCAGAAGGGTCCGTTTTCTTCTTTCAGCTACACCTTTTTGGTCCGGAGAACCAGGCATGGTGTATTGGGCAACAATCCCATGCTCTTGAAGAAACTTAGCAAATGGACCAGGTGCTTGTCCATTCTCAGTATATCTACCATAGTATTCACCACCCCTATCAGACCTAACTATGTGTATTTTCTTGTTACATTGGTTTTCAACTTCAGCTTTAAATGATTTAAAGACATCCAATGCTTCATTTTTATGATGAAGTAAATACACATAGGAAAATGTTGAGAAGTCATCAATAAAGGTGATGAAATATTTCTGACCAGGTATTGTCATATCAGGACAACATATGTCAGTATGAATAATTTCCAACAACGTTAATTTCTATTGACACCTTTCTTTGACTTGTTTGTTTGCTTACCCTTAATGCAGTCAATGCAAGTCTCAAAGTCAGTATAGTCTAGAGTAGAAATTACTCCATCCTTTACCAACCTTTTAATACGCTCAAGGGAGATGTGACCTAATCTCCGATGCCACAACATTGAGGGATTGTCGTTAATACTGCACCGTTTGGTGCCATTTTGAACATGTAAAGAATTGTAAACTGAATCATTCTTTAATTTAAGACGGAAAAGACCATCAGACAATGTACCAGTACCAACACAAGTAGAATAACGCAATAACTTGAAATCATTGGTATTAAATTCAAATCTGAATGGTGGAAACGGAATGGATGTGAAAACCGCTTTCCTTAATGGTGATCTAGATGAGGAGGTTTATATGAAACAACCTGAAGGTTTCTCTTCTAGGGGTGGTGAGCATTTAGTATGTAAGCTTTGATACCAACTGTTAGACTAAAACATATCACATACATCATATAATATGTGAAAACAGGATCATACTAACCTCCATCCATTAGTTCTTGTATTAAGCGATCCAGACTACTGCAGAGTTTTGTCTCTCACTTCTACTCAGCTCTCTCTAGATGGTGTATGAGATATGTAATGTGAGTAGTGAGAGGACTAGTGACCTTATATAACCACTGGCCATCATTGTGGTTGTATGGCTTTAGGTCTCCTAAATCCTAACCAGACTCCTAATCATAATGTATGGTAGTCTAGCTATTAGGTTATTAGTGTTGCACCACATATCAAATACTGAATATTATCATAACTTACCCTAATGTTATAATAATAAAAATTAGGGAAAACGTTACATGAGAAGCTTTCATGTTTGCAAATATATGCATCCACTTACTTTAATTTATGGAAATGTTCACAATCGCTAGGTGAAGATATACTTTGAGATGCATTCACTTATGGTATATATTTAGCATTATTCAAATTTATAATTTCAAAACTTTCATATATACTTTGATTTAAGAAAATTTTCATATTCGCTACTTGGATGTGCGCTTTGGATAAAACTCATATTATGGCCCTCCCAAGAAAGAACCTCATGAGATAAATCAATCTAGATTGTTCATAGGTTATAGCTAACCATCTCAAATGAAGAAAGCCAATAAACAGCTTCACGAAAAGTCAATTTTGAAATCTTGTAATTACAAAGTCCACTAGCCACCAACTAGTCTAAGGTTGCACCAAATTTCATATATACTAACAAACCTATATATTACCACAATATCACCTTCATCCCAACCCTACCAAAAAAAAAAAAAAAAATGCTCGCATGCCGGGCCAGTTTTTGCCCCATGCATAATGCCCAACAGTATAGGGCCTCAATTTTAGAAAGCTCAATATTCATTTTTGACCTAGCTGCTTAATAAATTAAAAAAATAATAATAAGAAAAGAAAATATGCAATTAAGCCCATATTCTTTTACACGTCTTTCTATCTTGCCTAAAACTCATCAGTTTTTCTCCCGACGAATCATGCAACACCATTGAAAATGGCAAGATTCTTCCTTCGATTCCTCCATTAATTTTACAACTTACTCCAAATTTCTTTGATTACCAAAGTTGCAATTTAATTTTCACTTCTCTCTCCTAATTAATTGAGCATAATTATACTTTTGGGAATGCCTCATTTATTTATCAGAATGGGTCACAAAAATTCAAAAGATGTCCCTACCCGCATGGACTTAGTTTAATGGTTCAGTAGGCAGTATTTATGAGAATATAAAAAAAAAAACAAAAAAAAACAAAAAAAGAGTTAATTTCACCAGAGGTCCCTTGTCTTTGGTGGCAATTTCAAATTTAGTCCCAGACTATCGTTTTTGCCATTTAACATCCCAGACTATTGTTTTTTGGACACTTTTAGTTATTTTCATGACTTTTCCTATTTTTTGTAAGGACCTTTTTGTCTCTTCATATTTTTCTTTTGTTATTTTTTCGATTTCAACCGGTTTAATTGGTTTAGAACTTTAGGAAACCTCTGATTTTTAGTAATCATATTTTTCAATCGATTTTTAGTAAAGTCTTAAACCAATTAAATCGGTTGAAACTAGAAAAATAACAAAAAAAAAAATTATAAAAAGACAAAAATACCCTTACTAAAAATATGAAAAGTCATAAAAATGATTAAAAATGTTCAAAAACAATAATCTGAGATGTTAAATAACAAAAAAAGATAATCTAAAACTAAATTTAAAATTGCTACAGAAAAGAAGGGATCTCTAGTGAAATTAACTCAAACAAAAAATTATGCTGAATTGGTTTCATCTGCTCCCAATTTAATTATGTGATACAATTTACGAGAATCTTTTGCTTGGCAGGACAGTACTATTACCCCGTCAGTTACATGTCATATATTATTAATAAAAAAGTTGAGTTAACACCAAAAATAAAAATAAAAAAGTTGAGTTATCATAATTTACATCCTTTCAAATGCTCTGTTATGTCAGAATGTGGGGGTCCTTAAGGTTGAGTTCAACCTTTTGGAAGAATATTATTAATAAAAAAAAACGTTACTTTATTGGCAATTTAGGAGTAAATGTAGGGATGCATGTAAGACATTAATTAATTTATTATAAGTCAACAACCAAAAATACAATTCTCACTTTTAATTAAAGAAAAATAACAATTTTAATCTATTAATTATACTTATATTGTAGATTTAGTCCATGAATTATTACCATATACAAATTTTTCCTTTAATTATGTGTAAAGTGACAGTTTTAATCCACTACTAACAAATTATGTTAATATTAACAATGCATTTTAAATTTTCAAGTTATTAAACGACACATTTTTTATTTTTTAATATCATTTTGTATTAATTAATCGTGAGGTTGTCAGACTCATTTTTTTTTACCATTGGAGTGTAGCTAAAACCTCAAAATTGTTTTAGTTTGCAAGTTCACTAAACATTATTGATTGAAATAAATATTATGAATTTAATAATTTTTTACTTCCATATCAATAAGTTGAAGTGAGTATTCAATCCATAAGCACTTTCAATTCATATGCCATTTTTTTTTTTTTTTGAAAACCAATTCATATGCCATTTTAATTTTCTTAAAAACAAAAATAAAAAGAAAGAAAAGAACAATGGTACTACCATACTGCCAATTACATTTTCAATTTTCCATTTACAACAAGACATCAAAAAAGAAGAAGCATATTAGTATATCATATGACCAAAGGAGGATATTTTGAAAAAAAAAAAAAAAAAAGGACTAAAAGTGGACTGACACCTATAAATTTAGGGCCAAAAATATAATTAACTCGATAAATTTATATTTTAATCACCAAATTAATTACATTTAACCTAGAAGCTAAAAACAAGTAGATGCATATTTATAAAATTTTAAAAAATTAGTAATTCTTCATTACGAATGAAGAGAAAAGGTATATGTAAAGATTTAATGGAGGGAAGTTGAGAAAACTCTATAAGATGACCAATATGTCTTTCAATAATTTAAAAATTCATGTCTAATGTTAATTTTAAGGGTGAATCAACGATTTGGTCCCTCACTTATTCGCGACTTGTCAATGTTGCCCCTGAATCACGTATTCATCGATTTAGTCCCTGAAAATAATTGTTTTTCGTCAAATCAGTCCCTATGGCCATATTCCGTCAAGTCTCAGGCGAGAGCTCCGATTTGCCCTGGGCATTTTGGTCTTTTCACGCCTTCTTCTTCATTAAGACCAAGCTTCGCCGGAGGGAGCTCCATCTCTTCTCTACTCGTCGAAATGAGCTCATCCGCAGTAGTGATTCACCATTGAGAAGCTTCCATGTTCGTATTTTTCCTTGTTAGCGCCGGCTTCCTTCGTCCTTGCCGTTCAAACTCAACCGACGAGCTCACTGGGGAAATTTTCAAATTCTCAACGGGTCCGGGTCCGGGCCCACTACTTCCCCCGGACTTGCGGGTTTTCCGTTTGGCAGTACGGACGGCCTTGGTGCCTCCGCCATTGGAGTTCGCGACCTGGAAGCGGCAATGCGGCAAAGGCGACGCGAACGAGATGGAACGAGAGAAGCTATTGTTCCCGCCGAACGGAGTAACAGAAGCAAAGAAAGAAGAATGAAGGGAATCCCTCTGACGCCGCACCCTTATACCGAGGAAGCTCGATGTGCCGCCGCAGAACACGCACGATGCTTCCATTTCCCCAGTCTTTAGCGCACACCCGACCCCCCTCACCGGGTATTTAAGCTTTCTCCGGCCACAACTTTCAAAAAAAAAAAAAAAAAACTAGAGGAAGAAAAAGAAGAGTTGGAATACTGCGGATGAGCTCATCATTTCAACAAGCAGAGAAGAGATGGAGCTCCCTCCGGCGAGCTTGAGCTTCTCCGGCGAAGCTTGGTCTTAATGAAGAAGAAGGCGTGAAAAGACCAAAATGCCCAGGGCAAATCGGAGCTCTCGCCTGAGACTTGACGGAATACGGCCATAGGGACTGATTTGACGAAAAACAATTATTTTTGGGGACTAAATCGATGAATACGTGATTCAGGAGCAACATTAACAAGTCGCGAATAAGTGAGGGACCAAATCGTTGATTCACCCTAATTTTAATTGAATATTTAGCGGTGGATTAAAATTGCCACTTTACATATAATTAAAGGAAAAATTTTGTATAAGGTAATAATTAATTGGTTGAATCTACAATATCACAAAAATTAATGCACTAAAATTACCAATTTTCTCTTTAATTAATATTTTTTTAGTTTTTCCTTATAATAAATATTTAATATTTGTTATTTAAGGTATTATAATATATGTGTGGGGCAGGGGGTGATAATCTCATCCATTGATTTACGATGACTCTAAATTAAGAATAAAAATACGGTGTCATAATTATTGCAAACTTTGAATATACATTAATTAAAACTTGAAATTGCATTTGTTGAAATGTTAAAATGCATGCAACTAACTCGAGTGACTTTTATTCTTTCAAAAGGCTGAATTCCAACCCGGCCCTACAGAGCATTTGGGAGGATGTAAATCATGGTGACTCAATTGAACATGCTCACTGCGTACAAGGAGCCCCCCTCACTGCCGCTGGTGAGACTCGATCCCTGATCATTTTTCTACAATTTTACCTCTATAACCAGTTGAGCTACCCATACAGGCACTCGAGTGACTTTTATAGATCTTGAATGCATTGTCACACATTATTATCGGATGCATCTTAACATTTTTCTCAATGCATGTTTGAAGATGGTAATAACTAAGAAATTGCCTCAGCATTTTTCTCCAAACTTAAAGCCATTAATCATCTCAAATCGATAAATAATATTATTTTACAATTTTACGGAAAGCATTCTTCTCATTTAGAAGGATAGTTATGCTGTGCATCCGTATGCATCATGCATGGTGCATCCGGATGCAAAAGCGACGTCGTTTTGACGTCTAACTTTAAAAAAAAAAATCAGAATTGCATAACTACATATCCATAATTTCATCACATCCATAATTTCATAACTATACATCCAGAATTACATAAGTACACATCCATAATTTCATAACTATAAATCTAGAATTGCATAATTATAAATCCAGAATTGCATAACTACACATCCATAACTTCATAACTATACATCCAGAATTGCATAACTACACATCCATAACTTCATAACTATACATCCAGAATTGCATAACTACACATCCATAACTTCATAACTACACATCCAGAATTGCATAACTATACATCCAGAATTGCATAGCTATACATCCAGAATTTCATAACTAAAAATCCAAAATGAATGAACTAAAAAATGAATAACATAATGTTATTGCTGGGAATCAAAACTGTTTTTTTTTTTCTAAGTAAGACGCGCGTTTTGATGCAAAACAACGTCGTTTTTGCATTCGTATGCACCATGCATGGTGCATACGAATGCACAACATAATTTGCCCATTTAGACAAAACCTTATAATACATATATTAAATTCATTATAATTTAAGAACTAAAAATACAATTCTCCTTTTCAGTAATATATATATATTTTTTTTTTAACATTTTTTTAGTGCTACTAACTCTATTACGATAATCCATAATACATATACATATATACATCGAGGCTACAGAATAAAACATCATAGTGATGTTTAATAAAAGTAAAAGAATGATAATTAAATTCTCCTCGAATAAAAATTTTGATTTTTTCTTTCTT